TAAAATATCCAAATCCTCCAATGGAAGATGTAATATTTATTTGTAAAACAGCATCAAAAGTTTCTGGTAATCTAGTCATCACAAGATCATAAGTATCTTTCGATAAAATTGTGGGTTCAAGAACACCTGCTAATGAATTACCAATAGGTTTACCGCCATTAGCCATGATAGCTGCTAATTTGGCCATAGATTTACTATTAGTAACTCCACTATAACTAGGTCCTTCATAATTCAACATTTCAAATCTATTCCAATCTTGTGGTTGACTTCTATCCGGTGCTGTTTGAACAAGAGTTTTGTATGTTACACTGTCTGTTTTCATCATGTCGTCAAAAATAGGTTCTAGCGGTTCGCTAATCATCCATTTGGGTAATAAAACCTTCGCAAGTATTCTGACCAATGGGTATGCATAAATATTTGCAACTCTTTGATATAATGATTTTTTCGTTATAGAATAATAAAATTCAATATCATAAACAGGTGCGATTTCTTCCGCCACTATGCGACCAATTGTACGATGTCTCGGATCAACTCGACGAACAATTTCATTCAAGTACCAACCACGTGTTACTCCATGATACGCTTTTGTTGGTACACCGTTAAAGTTATGAGGTTGTGATTGAAGAATCTTTGCGAGTGAATCGAGATTTGATAAATCTGATAAGGTCATTTGGTGTGAATCAATATAACCTACACCTGCACGGTGAACTACCAAGTCCAATAATGTGACATTTTCTTTACCACCTTGGGCAAATTCTGGCCAATATTTTGAAATCTTCTCATCATAATTCAAATGTCCTTGTTCAACAAGGCGTGCAATCACTATTCCAGTCTGTTTAAATATATATATATATATAGTATTTAAAATTTTAGTTAAAAATTCATGAAATTAAAAAGAGTACTATAAAAAAAAAATAAAATAAAATAAATAAATAAATAAATAATATTGATAATACTAACCAAAACTTTGCTACTAGAAAATACAAGTTGCAAGGTTTCTGCATCATAAACGCTACCAGTTGCCAAATTAGCGATTCCGCCTTGTAAATCAACCACCATTTTATTATCATAAAAAACACTAACTCCAGCTCCAACATCTAATCCATTTTTAATATTTTCTTCGAAAATTTTTTTAACACCAGCAAATTCTGGTGTAGTAAATCCTGATACTCTAGCTGAAGGACATCCAACATTTAATATTTGGCATGAAAATGGTAAGAAAGGTTCGGAATGTGAATATCTATAGATAATGAAGCCCAAAATTAAATGTAAAATAAATAATATTCTGAAAATTCTACGTCGATTTTTTAAGAATTTAGCAGATGATGAGATCGATGGAATTTTAGAATAATTAAAATTTTGTGGAGTAAGGATTGAAGGTACAGATTTGATGGTTGAACTAATAGAGGAATGAACTGTGTTCGAAACGTTTGAAATGACATTGATCAATGACTCGGGGATCCAAGAAATGGATTGGGGCAAGTACGAAGAAAAAGTAATTCTGGTGTTTGATGTTGGAATTTTGGTGTATTTGTTAGCGATCGGTAATAGTGGTGTTCTTTCTGTGGAGGAATATTTGTCATTATTGCTGTTAGGATTAGTATTGTTGGATTTGGTTTTCGTCACATATTCCATGTCTATGTCTGTTGATTCTGATGACATCTTATCGTTCTTCGATGTATGAGATAGCAGATAGATGTAGAGGAAAACTTGAAAGGCAGTATAGAGAGGATTGCGGACAACTTTAAGCAACGTTTGGCGCAAAATTTTGAAGGAAAATGAAAAATGAGAGCGTGTATAAATATGCTTTTCGTCAAAATTATGATGAAAGGAATCAGGCCTATCAAATTATTAAAGGTTGATTCCCTTAGTGGTAATGGTCAGCGAAATGCGAAGGCTGCGATGAGGAAAAACGAACGCAAAAAAACCAGGTATTTATCTAAAATGCAAGTAACACTATTATTATATGTAATATTAAATCAAACAAGGTTGAGAAATTTGGTGTTAAATACTTTAATTATAATAATAAATTATAATAATGAGCCATATATCGACTTTGTTTAAATTTTATGTGCCAATAAATCACCATTCTACGAATTTATTGTTATTTTTACCATTCTAGCAGAATTGCGCTTACAAACTGGGAATCACTCAATTAGGCCATTGTCTTTGTTCGTGAATGTCTTTATCGGTTGTAATAGTGACACATTGGTTCTGTCGTTATCACTGAATAATGTCATTAAACAGTAGAAATGCAAGAAATGCATGTATAATGTGGCTAAAAACCGTTATTACAGAATTGTATCGAGAAACAAAGACTTTGTACATTTGCTTTCCTAATTTGGTTATTTTCAATTGCAGTTGTACGATTTTGGAAATATCTAATTTACGATTTACGACATTATGTCTTAGCTTAACAAAAATTTTAAAAATTTTGAATCAAAAGATGTAACATAAAATCACTAATTTCGCTTTGTGCTCTATGTTAATAAGACATTGCCCAGAAATTTAGAGTTTAACCCGTTTATGGAATATCCTTTTTTATATGGTATTATAATAAAAACATTCGTAAAACAAACCTAGGCCTACTCTTCTGGTATGATACCTACTGTATTTATTTCCGTATGTTTAAATTATTCATGCATTACCACCTGTAATTTTATCTACTTTATTCCTGCCCGTTGTATTATGCACGCACGGAATCGAATTACTCATTACTAAGAATAATTGCATAAGATCTTTGTAAGTGTAATAAAATCTAATAATCTAACTTTTTTTTTTTTACAAGAAATAAAGCATCGAATTAAAATGTTATAGTTCATGTTAAAGAAATCAAATTTATCAACGTATGATCTTTTATTATAATTTCATAAATACTTAAATTATACAGTTAAACCCTCATTAATACAGTATCAATCTATTTTAATTATGTTAATATATATGTTGTAAGTGGGAATGGGATTAAGTGGATTCGGAATTTCCAAGTTAAATTAAGGTTAGGGTAAGGG